GAGCACTTAGGGCGGTGTACAAAACTAGATCAGCGTCCTATCAAGAACTGCTAAGTCGCGCCAAACTACCGACGTTGAACAATCGGCGCCTACAAGACAGTGCCACTTTGATGTTTAAAGTTAAGCACAGTCTCGTACCTGAGAATATTTCTGACTTATTTAATATAAAGAATAATCAGTATAATTTACGGAACAGTGACGTCGAACTGCCAAGATTCGAAACTGTAAGATTTGGTAGGAATTCTATTAAATATATGGGACCTCTCATCTGGTCGAAGTTACCAAGACACCCAAGAACGATAGAAACTCTAAATTCGTTCAAGAAGAACATAAGAAGAGTCAACCTGTCAACTCGCGTTGAAATTTAAAACTTAACTAAATAACTTTATAATCTTTTTAATTATCTACTGTAAATAACTATCATCTACATATGTAAATGTATTTGACTTTTAAATTTTTTTTAGTGTCCTCAATTAGCTTATAGCTAAAAACATAGACACTTAAATAAAGTGTTTTTTCATTCATTGTCTGTCTGTACACGTGAGTCGGGAACTAGAATTTAGGCTCTAACTCACTCTGTATACGTCACCAAGGAAGCAACGAAGGGGGGAGGTCTTATGGTGCCTGCGTCGTAACCCCTTTGAGTTTCCCCTCAGAATAATAAATTCTGATTTCCTTTAGACTCCTGAAAAACGCAGATGAAGGGAAATCAATGTCTATGGCCCTGATCACTGACCTTTTTTCGTCGAACTTGAGGTTTTTATGTCTTCCCCTAACTCCCAGAGAAGAGCTTTTTCTTGGGCTAAACTCAAATAATCCTGATTTTGCAACGTTCACCGTTCTCAGCGACTTGTCCAAACAAATACCTCTTTTAAGAATCCTCCTTGTTGGATCACATGATCTGTCAAAGCGGTAACCACGTGAGACCGGAACACCGCAAAAACATCCAAAAACATGATATTCGGCGACTTATTGTAGTCTTAGTATTGTATTGTAATCTTTATTTAGACACGATCAATTCATCAGCCTATAAAAATACATATAGTATGCATATACTATATGTATACATATACATAGTATATATGTATACATATATACTATATGTATACATATATATGTATACATAGTACTATATGTATACATATACATAGTATGCACTCTCCAGCCTCTTTGGAGGTTAGCATTGTATAACGATCACAGGCTTACAGTTTGCTTGCAAAGTACCTCGAAAAATGACACCAAGTACGCTACTGATCTCTCTCACTATTGATAGCTATACATTTTAGACATCGGTATTAAGGTGGCTGAACACAGTTTTTGATACCTGTGTTTCTTTCACCATTTTCTCTAATTAACACCCTTGATCTCTCGCTCGCCAAAACTGGCAGCAAGCAAGTTAACAACACAAACTTTTTGTCTTTTGATAGTTAAGCTGACATATGTGCCGTTGCCAGGGCGACGTGAATAAATATAAACAGGCCTTTAAAATCGATTTTGTTTATTTGTAGAAAATCTAGTCATTAGATTTTCTTTATAATTTGCATGCAACGAACTTGTAACGATACTCACAAGTTAACACCATTTTGCTAACAAATTAACAGAGAGATCTTTAATTATCCCTTGTTGAAGGTTCACTCGATTATCTAGCTGCTTAGTTCCAAAAGTATTTTCGTGCCAAATTTCGTGGAATTCTAATGGGTGGTTCTCAAGAAATAGGCATATTTCCGAGAAAGCAATTTTCCATTCAATCGCAATTCTTTGACTTACTACACATGCGCTGTATTTAACTGGGTTCTTTCGGTAACGGCGAAAAAGCTGGGTTCTTTGCACCGTTAACTTTTCTTACATGTCTTTGTAATAAAAGATTAAAGCCCCACTGCGCCAACTACAGAGAAAAATAGTACAGATAGTGCGGATACGTGTTGAGTAAATAAAATGATCGCTCCCTTGACGGTATGTTTGTTTTTTGCAATCCTTATGTGCACGTTGAATGGCATCTGCAAAATCGCGCGTGAAAACTGTGTTCAACCACCTTAAAAAGCAGGAAAATTCTGCTCCTACTTCCGCATAGCTTGCGTGACATAAAGATGCGCTGGGCATGGGGCTGAGTGAGCAAAGTCCCGTGACTCAGGCTTCGTTGCTCATTCTATTTACTTTTTCCCGTTTGCTTGCAAGCTCAGCTGAATTCATGACGAACACCTTAAATGAACTTCGAAAAGAAAATGACGACTCTTTTTTCAATTAGCTACAGAGTAGGTAATTGTATGTAATCATATGCTGTGTAAGCCATGAATCTTGAGTACTTTCCGTGATCGCGCGGTGACTGGTTTACTGATCGCGTTAGACACTTTCGTAAAGCAACCGAAGTACGCTAAGTAAAAATAGTTTTGGGGATTATTTGAAGGATTTCTTGGATTTCTTTGTTGTTTCAGTTTACGTTGTGTCAATTTGGCAGTTAACGACTCCCATCCTGAACACAATTCAGTTATAATCTATTTACGTTTTAATTACAAGTGTGTGAACTCAACTAACATTTTGTTGAGTCCACGGTTGTCAATATAACGTAAAGCGAAGCTTTCTGTTGCTACGTTGTTTTATCTCTATAGGTACATGAGACAAGTTCGTAATTGACACGGAATCAGTATGCAGTCGGTGATAATGTTTTTAGCCTTTTTCTGCTTCTGTTTGGTAAGTTACAAACTTTAATTTCTTTGGCATTTTTAATTTATTGTGAAGAAACTTAATAATACCTTAAAACATTCATACTTTAAAAGTCGTTCAAGAAACCTCAATCCTCTTCTTTCATCAATATATTTTATGGACATTTCAATTTATTTATTTCCAAGTAAATATCAGGTGGTTATTACTAGGCTAGCTTGCAAATAGCGAAGAGCTAGTCGCGGTAAGCCAGACAGTTGAAAAGTAATTTGACACGTTTATACAATAAATATTCACATACAATTACAACATGACAGAGGAAAGAGGAAAACTACAGACTAAACAGACTAAAGACTAAACATAATTACAGTTAGAGATTAACCTTTCATCAAGTATTAATTAAAGTGTCTATTTCGACATAGGAGACGAATACAGACTAAACATAATTACAGTTAGAAATTAGCCTTTCATCAAATATTAATTAAAGTATCTATTTTGACATAGGAGTCCACTACAGACTAAATATAATTACAGTTAATCTTTCATCTTATTAATTAGAGTATCTATTTCAACATAGGAGGTTTCAGCATCTCTCACTTATGTTCGATGGGTTGGAAAAGGAGAAGAATCTGTCACCAAAATCATGATTTATTTATGCCTTTCAAAACTTTTTGAGCTTGTGGAAAACACAAGCTGATCTTACGTTTTCATCATATCATCACATTTAAAGTGCATCAAATCAAATTCATCTAATTATTTACTTTGTTTTAAGAGATACAATCATATTAATCTTATCTTGTGTTAGACAAATACAATACGTCATTTTGTCCGAAAAGAGCCACATTTAGTCCAACCACAATTTGTTCTCCTTGATAATTTCATTTTTCATTTTTCTTGTGAAGAACTAACTTTTTCCTGAAAGTGTGGATGAAAAAATCATGAAAATGAATTCTGCAGACTTGACGTCAATACTCGTTTAGGAATTTACAAAAGGTTTATAGAAGTCAGTACAACTTTTGAAGTTTTTTCTGCAAGTGTTGTTCACATTATTTTGGTTTGCAAATTGAAATATGTATAATATGTACTGTGCTTACTTAATCACCCCCATCAAATCTTTCACTTCCTTTCACCTGTCCAACTCTTTTTTAAAGAAAAAGTAGACGGAAAAAAATTTTAGGTACACAGGTGACTTACCTGCGAAATGTCAATTGAAAACTTAATTCAGTCTCACAATATTAGTTTCAAAGCAGGTGATGGAGACTTAATCTTGTATTAAACCTGCATTTAAACCAATTTTCCTAACCTGTATATTTTATCTGAGACAATTTGGTCTAGAAAATTATATACATTACTGACACAGTCATCCAGACTTTTTCTGAAGTCCTGCACCATGCAGGCTTTTTCACGTCTCTTTTCTTTCATTTCGTTTTTTTTTTATTGTATTTTCTTTCTTGCCAAAAGACTTTACAAAATATAGGGCCATGGGTAACAACACATTTTATTAGGGTGACTGGCCAGCCACTTACCTGACAAAAAATTACCCAGAGGAATACTTGATGAAGAATAAATTAGGGAACCTCTAACCTTTTAACCACTAAGAGTGATTAGCATCTAATTTCTCCTTACAATATCACCCCTGAATCACACATTAAGGTCAGGAGAATAAAAGAAATATCACCAACTAAACAAGCTTAATTTTTACTCAAATTCACCCTGTCAACACCTTAAAAAATATGTAGAGAACAATATGAAGAATATGCATATTGATGTAAATGTGTAATTATAATAAATATTTATATTTTGCAACTTGGTAAGACTTGGCATGAAGTACTTGGTATGATGGTTGTACCAACTGGATTTATTTCCTTTTTCTTCTTGCTAGGAAGTACACCATGTCTGTTGTATAATCTGTCTAGATGAACAGTACACTATTGTCAGCTCAAATGGGAGTGCTGTGTATTGTTTTAACTGTGCCAGGTGTCACCCTGGACAAGGATTGAGTCCTCCATGTGGTTCGCATGTTAAAAAGGAAGAAATGTCTCAAATACGTTGCAAAGATTGCCCTTCAGGCATGTTTTCTGATGAGTATGACCCATCCCCTTGTAAAACCTGTCAACAGTGCGCTCTTCACGAGATAGCATCTGCCAATTGCACCAAGGTATCTGATGCAAGTTGCAACAGAACGTGTGCTAAAGGATACTTCTTTGTTGACGTCTCTCACAGCTGTCAACAATGTTCATTTTGTTGTTTTGACAAAAATGACGAACCACAGCCAGAATGTATCAAACAAGGGTTCAATGCTACTGGTCAATACTGCAGTATTCGATCAGATAAGAATTGCGCTCCAGTACATCCAACTGCAGGAACAACCTTGCGAACAATTGTGACTAGTATGATGCATTACCAAAACAGATCAGCCCCTTCTGCTACTAGTGCAGTAGTGCCTGGTGATAATACTAAGGGCAGCATTATAGTACTTAGTGTGGTGGCTTTTATGTTTGCCTCTGCCACACTTATTGGTGGATTCTTGTGCTGGAGAAAAAGGAAGAAGGAGCAAGGGAGAGAGGCATGGATCAAAGATAGAAATCCTAGTGCAAGTGAGTTGTATTCCAACCTTTTAAGTATGGATTGTCAAAAATGTAGAGTTTGATATTATATCTGCACACAAGACAAGTAGCCTTCACTGTGGAAGCTCATTCTAGTTTAGAAAGACCATTTTTGTTATAGTTCATTTTACAGTTGCATGCTTGGTTGCCAAGCCTTTGAACAGGAGTGAGGCTAAGGGTGACGGTGTTTATATTGATTCAAATGTAAATTACTTTGTTATCATGCTAACTATAGATACTGGTCTCTATCTCAAAGAGTCACCTTCTGCCTCACTTCAAATCAAATGCTAATTGGCAACTAAGTACACAACTGTAAAATGGCCTATTAGGGAGCGCTGTTACTCAATCGACCTCAGTCATGGATGGGTACCAGTTCAATCACCTGTTACTTCCAAGTTCTATAATATAACTTCTAGCAGTAAGAGTCAATATTGTCTTGCACAAGATTACAAGTTATGTTTAGGCCTTTTGGTTCAAAAAAATATTCTCACTGTTAACAGATGTGTCTTCTTGAGAATACTCAGTGTTCTCATTGTTGTAGAGGCCTTCAAATGCAGTGTGAGAATGAGAATGCGTTTAACTTTTTGAATAAGATGAATTCATTGCTGTTGTTATATTTTAAACTTTGAAATTTTTTTAATATTCTGAAGCAAAAGATTGGCTTTGAACATTTTCTCTAATTTATAGTTAAAATGGTCCAATTAATATGATCTTAGTATTTGAAATTTCCAGTTTTTTGTCAGTTAGAGGATTGTCAGGAATGGGAATATACTGTTCATTTTTGTTGTGGAATCAAGCCAGTATTAACATCCTAGTATGTTAACAATCTTTGAAATCTTAGTGGTGGACTTCTTATTCAAAGGACTGCAGTCATGATCTGCCACTAATTTTAAAAGATATGATCAACAGAAAGTTGTTCAAAACAGATAAGATAAGCCAACTCAAACAAGTTAAAAGGTTGCTGATTGGCTAACTTTGTAATGATCATTAGTTCATTCCAGATTCTTATTTGGTGTTCCAAAAAGGTTTTAGCCTGTGTTCTATGTAATTATCATGCAGTCAGGGCTAAAATGCAAACCTTTTGAACTGGAGATTAGTTTGCAGGTTGCCTTTAAAATTTCAAATATGTTATTGCATATTGATCATATGATTAACTTTGAAGGCAAATAGCAGAAACACAAAGCTAATGAAGGTGTGACACAAGCATTCTCCAGTGTACAGAACTGCTGCTGTGACTGTCAAATTCAGTATATACCGGTATATAACTTGCTTCTCAGCATGTTGGCTGTTTTTTTCAGCTCTTCATTTTTGCCTTGTACAGGAAGTACAAGCTGAAAACATAGGTCAATACATCAATTGGCTTCAAAACTTGGTATATTATGAACATGATCAAGCACCCCATTGTTTTTCTTTGAGTTAAATAACTTTGGTTAATTTATATCCATATGGCATTTTTTGTACCACAGCTTTAGCTGCATTTTTATCATCTTGTACATATGATGCCAGTTTGTTTATCTGAATAATTTGATACTTTCAATTTGTCAGCACTTCAAGATGGCACCAGCTGTGCCAAAAAAAGACCTGCAGTGTCAGATTCCAGTGCTGTGGTGCCATTGGCACCCCCCAAAGTTAAATCATTACAGATCAATGTAGCTTATACTCCATCCTCTCCAGAAGAGTCTCCCTGTCCAACTGATGATGAACTAGGTGAACTGCGTAACCCAAAGGATGAATTACGAAAGAAGCGAATTTTGAAACGACAAAGCAGTAAGGAAGCACAAGGTACTATTATATTAAATACCTTACATCTTTGCACAGGATTATGCATAAAATATACATCCATTTTCTAGAACCTAGCAATTTGAAAATGTATGTACAAACTGTATAAATACCTCTTCTTTTTCCATTAAAAAGGTATTGACATATGTAATCAATAGCTATATACAATTTTTCAAAATGAAAGTACAATTGTAGCTGCTGTCAAAATAAGAAAAAATTTATTCCTTTTTATACAGCCAACTGTCCAATTACACTGTCTGATTACACTGTGTGATTACAACTCTACAGAATAAAAGGTGAAAAACAAAGCAGCTAAATTGCACCATCACATTTAATAGGAAGTTGTAATGGTTATAGTAAGATATGATTGAATAATTAATTAATATTTATACCTTTCCTTTTCTCACCAAAAATGTGATGCATGATGCATGTATATTTCTCTAAATAGGGACCTTAAAAAACCTAGACGGCGACGCCAAGGAAGACTTTGATTAAAAAATGAATTTCTACTCCTAGTTAGAATTTCAAAAATGGCTGCAGGAGCTTACTGTCTCATATAGCGCCACAGCTCAACTTCAGCATGATGTACAAAGTAGCCATTGAGTTCCAAATGGAAATTGAAATAATTTGCCGTCACGGTTTCGGTTCACAGACGACGCAAATTTTGGCGATTTCACGTTGTTGTTTTGCATAGGACGGCTATGAAATGTACAAAGTTTCAAAACACATGTGCTGAGCTACTGTTCTGCCAATTAGATCTCTTGTTTTCCACATCCTTGTTATCATCACCGTCATGGTTTCTTAAGGTCCCTAATAATATGAAATGGAGTTGTAAATGGTCACTGTGTAATCAGACAGTGTAATTAGACAGGTGGCTGTTATCAGACCTGTAGTTAAATCCATAGTCTCCCTCGCAGCCGTTTTTCGTCTCGTCATGCAATGCTCCTCCCTCAAATGGCTGCTCATATTGTTACAGTAACTGATTACCGGCGGAAAGATAATAACCTCGCTATTTCCACGAAACACAATTTATTTAACTGTAAACAACGGGAGATAACCTAACACGAGCTAGTGACTATACTCTTGGAACAATCCAACTAAAATTAACTGTGTACTTCTCTGCGCTTATCTGACCACAAGCAAAGTACTGTCCTTCTCTTTGGCAAAATCTCCTGAAGACTTCCTTCGCAGTATTGCACTCCACGGTAAACAACTCTGGACTTGACAGCAGAATGTCAGTATCACATCCGAACGGGAAAATCCCTTCACTTGTCACTTGTCACACAATATCGCTTGTAGATCACAAACAGGGAATGAAGTCCCAAATCACAACAACAACCTGACTAGCGAGCTGCTTATATAAGCAACCGAAGAGAGTCTAGAAGTTTCCAAAAGTAACTATTTATAATCATTACAATAGTATTAGAAAGATTATAACTATTAGAGTAAACTCTATTTTTAAACTGAGAGTCACAGTTCTAGAAAATTCTTGAAACAACATGTTGCGTGACATTGACCTCCGCGAACTTTCTAGACAATTCCAATCCTTGTAACGATATTCCAACAACATTCCTTTCCGTTACTTCAACCAATGACCATTTGGGTTACATATGTCGAGAACTCTGCACGCCAAAAGTCATCTAACCAATCATATTGTTTGTCCCATCTTAATTGGAGTTCAAAGCTTTCACACAGGGGTCTTACTGTCAGTTGACTAGGGAAAGCTTCTAGCACAAGACCATATGGATGACGTCGAATAGGAGACACAGCAATAGAACCAATAGGAAATCTTTCCGGAGTATAACATACCTGTTGGCTGATTGCAGTAGAAATACTAGAATTGGCTGTAGCACTAGAAGTACAAGTGGTATTGATCAGATCGAATTGTAAACATTTCAAGGATTTCCCACAGCATGAAGCTTGAATTTCTCCACCACCACTCTCAACGTTTAATAAGCGCTTCATTCTGGGAAGTCTGCGACCCTTGAAGATTCCCTTCAATTCATCTTTGAGCTCTCTAACATGATCAGAGGCCTTTTTCAACTTGATCAATCGTCGGTAGCAAGCTGTACAAACTGACAACTCGCTGGTTGCTGAATAGCAGCCTGCATTCACATCCAGGCAGGAACTAATAATCGCCGGAAAATCAAAAGATTACTTTTTCCAAAAACATAAATTTTTTCTTTTTTCTCAACTGAAGTGGAACAAATAAAGCAACGATCACTTCGCAAAACCCTCTTCGGCGTTTCCTCCATCAAGAAACTACGATCTTGTTAATGCAGAATTTGAAAACGCGGGAAAAACGATATTGATTACAAACTCTTGTGCTCTGATTGGTCACATAAGAAACGATGTCAGTGATCTTATTGGTGCAAAGACAACAAAGGGAAAGGAATGTTGTTTGAATGTGAGCAGCCGTTTGTGGGGAGGAGCATTGTGTGACAAGACTAAAATCGGCAGCAAGGGAGACTACTAAACCCACCAATCACAGAATTGATTACAATAACCATTAATAGCAAACAACTGCATGCTTACCCTACAAAGCTGGGGGATTTCCAAAATATAGTAATTTTTTGCCCTAGACATTGTCTCTACTGGAGCTATTTTCTCAAATAAATGTAATTGTTTTGGGGGGAGAAATTGAAATGGTTATGATTAATTGGTAACAGGTCATTATGTCATCCAATTTGGTCTGTAATCATACTTGTGATTGACAAATTAGACTCCAGTGCTGGGTTGTTCAAAGGTGGGTTAATTAACTGAGATAACCCAGGGTTAGTGTGAAATTTGATTTAGATCTAAAAGCTTTAAAAAGACAGTTCAGTTTAATTCCATTTGTCTACAATATGATGATAGGATGCTCTGAAAAGAATTGGGAAAATTATCCCAAAACAGCTTTTGAACAGAGAAATATAGAAACCTGGATAATTTAAAATTTAACTCTGGATTTGCGCTAATTGGCCTTCGGGCAACTGGGCCCTGCTTCGTGGTCCTCCCATTTTGCAATGGCTCATTAATAATGCTTACAGACTGAATTGGACTCCACTTGGTCCTTATTACCATTACATATTTTTAAATAGTGAAGGTTTTGAAACAGGTCTATATTTTATGTATCTTTCAATGGATTTTTCTCTGTATTTCAAAAGTTTATTAGAAATTGGTAGAAGTTCTGAAAATGATGTGATGGGGACATGCAATGTTTTAAAAACACATTAAATTTTAGTAGATTATAATGTAGAGAGCAATATCAGCTTTATGCATGCTGTACTGAAAGCTTCTCAGGAAATTTATTTCACATTGCTTATAAGCTAGGGTCACAGCCTTTCAAACAAGCTTCATGCTCTCAGTCAAGTAATTTTGCTCTTAATCCATTTACTCAACTTTTGATTTCTACAATGATTAAAAAATAACTTGCCTGACAAAATCTTCCTTTTTAAAGGATAAGAAAGATGATAAGTTTTGAGCTTGGTAAAGAAATGTATAAAGATGTTTTTTTCATCTAGTCACCAGCATGGGACAAAGAAAACATTCTGAGTCCCCATGAGAAATCGAATCTCAGACCTTCCGATTCTATGCTCTGATGCTCCACCACAGTCACAGAAGCTCTATGGTGAGCAAGCCCCCAATCTCATTACTTGACTGCCACTGTACTCAGTGATCACCAATGCAACAGGTTAAGAGAAAAGATAAATTTATCCACCATGGAGTTCTGTCTTGATCAAATACTTAACTCTCCCTACTCATATAAATGTGGATGTAATTTTAATTTTAGCAACTATAGAGATTGGGAACTAAAGGTTGAACTGATGTACCCGAGTCAACATATAATAAATGAATATGTCAACTATATGTATATGTATAAATACATATTTGCCACCTAAACTTTAAAATTTATCTTTTGTGATAATTGTTTTAGCATCAAAGGACAGTGCAAGCAAGAGCTTGTTAGGATCTGGAGAGGAAGGCAGTGATAAAAGTAAAGTGCAAGATGAAAACGGTACATTAAATGTTGCTTAGATTTCATGATAATATTAGGTAATTTGTAACTATTCATACAGAAAACAGTGTTGTTATAATCATGACTTCTACCTTTCTTCTCATTCATTTGTAGGTTTAGTTAACTTTTTTTAATAACTCACCTACTAGTTTTACCAAAACTTTATTTTGCAGTACATGACTGCCATTTTACAATTTCAAACTACGCCCTTTTTTCATGCAGTAAACATACAAGTTCAGAAAGTTTTTAGAGGTACATTTTTTATTGTAAACAATTTTAAATCATTAATTATTTTGACTGCCCTACCAATTTAAGGTGTTAGTCCAGCAATGGATAGGAGACCAAGTGTTGTAGAGACTGCCATAAGGAAACTGTCTAGAGAGATCAGCTATCAGCCTCTACCAGGAGAAGTATTTATGACAAATTTAATGTACCTCTGTTTATATGTAATCACTGTCTCTGATGTGTTTAGTTTCACATGACTTGTAAATAACTAATATAAAGATTTTATTGACACTATATGCATGCAGATGTTTTTTTTGTAATCAATGAGTTAATATAATGATAACATAGCTTTGAACACATGAACACATGATGTTATTTCTTTCCAAAAGATATCATTTAGAGTTCCTAGGAGTAGATAGAAAGAAATTGTGAAAGTGAAACAGAATCAATGTGATCGAGATCAAGGCATTTAATTCATCAAACAATCATCTCATCTCAAATACATAACTTTTATGTTTCCATGGTTTTGTTGCACTTTTTTTTGCTGCCTTTGTTCAAAATTGATGGTATTCATTTAATTTTGTAAGCCCTCATGACATCTCTTGTGTTATTTGTTGCAGGATCCAGATGAGCCATACGGTTGGTATTTTTATGTTCTTGCATGGTTATAATTTTATTGGTTGACAGCATGAGGGATTGAATGTTTTTCATTGATTTTGTAAAAGTTTTAAGTGTCAGGTATTTTTTACATATTAAGAAACTTAAATACAGGTTGGATGAAATCAATCAAAGATAGTTTAACTGGGACAATTCAGGAGAACAGTTTAACCCCTAGAAGTTGCAATTACACTAATGTGTAACTTTTCCTCACAGTTTCATTTCACTGTTCAAGATGCCTGATATAGCAAAGTTAAAATAGCTGTAATGAGGAAAGACAAATTTGATGACTGCACAGGACTTTGTGTTTTCTTGATAACACGTTAGAAAAAATTTACTGAACAGATTCACAAGAAATTCCCTTGCGAAATGGTTTCCTAGCTTTCTAGGATTCCTAGGAATTTCCTAGGAATTTCTTAGGAGTCAGTGGAATTTTCCTAAAAACATTTAAGCTCTTTAGAGGTGTGAACAAACATTACTAGGTTCCTAAGAATTTCCTAGGAAATTCCTAGGAATGATTACAGGTAGAATTTACATAAAAAAATAGATTCTTGATCCTTGGGAAATTCTTAGGAATTTACTAGGAAAAATTATTTTTTAAAATAAAACCTTAATTTTTAAGAATTATACTTGTGAGTTTAGCTTTTGAAAGAAAAGTGCCATTTTAGATGTTTCAAAAAGTCACTACTTGCAATATACCACAAATTTTTTTTATTTTGCATTATAATTTACAACTCATTAATTTTAAAGCAGATATTCTTGAAGTTTATACAATTTCCAATAAAACATTAATTTTTTATCCTTCAATTGCATATCACAATACATTGAAATAAAAATTTACTGTAGTAAAGAATACAAGCAGAAAACTAAATCAAATGCAATTCAAGTGGGATTTCAATCCATGTGTTTGGTGCTCCAGTCAGATAATAAAAAATGCTATACTGCAAGGACAGCGACTCTGACCACACTGAAATACAAAGTTATATCAGCCTGAGGCATCCCTGAAAAATGGTTTATCACAATGTGTAAGATTCAGCCAACATAATTTTGCACTGTCTCCTGATTTATTCCAATTATATGGTGAATTCTACATACTTTCCATTTAAAGTAAACTTAAGTTCAATATAGATAGTATCAAGTATCAATTTATTTGCCAGATTAGAATATTTTATACAAAAAGCTTAAGAACATATCTTTACTTAAATATTATAACAAGGAAGTCTTATTTGAAGCGATGGGAAATTTCAAATCTGGCATATTGAGACTTAAAAAGTGATATTTTCTTATATCTAACCACAGACAGCATTAAAGTTTGGAAATCTTATTATAACATGGTTTCTGGAATTGCCATTTAGAAGCATAATCTTCTCCAAAATTTCAGTGACACTCTTTGCTTTCAGGTCAGACCTAAAACATTGAGAATAAGAAATATCAATGCGATGCTTCTTTTCAAAAAGTGCTAGAGGAATAAAAGAATAG